CGTATACTTTATGACCAGTCCCTTATGATTCATTTTAGGAACTTTGCATTGTTTATACGGGGGGAAAGGATTGAGTCATATTTTAACATAAATAATTTTCTTCATTTTCTAGGGATTGTAGGGACAAAGAGGCGCTGAAAGTAGTTTTCCCCATTACACAAAGATATCTTTTCTCTTAGGTGAACCTGGCATGTAGGGGAAGTATATAAACATATATATATGTTTGTCTTCAGTACCAAGTCTTCGTAGATATAACTTGTAATTCAGCGTAAAAACTGTAAGAAACTGTAACGCCTTCCGCTGACGACGGAGTACAGAAAGAGAGTCAGAGAAAATTACTGAATTTTTTTGCGAAAACACCAATTGAAAGAGAATTAAAACTGAATCCCAAATTGCAACAAGTCGATATTAATTGCAATTGTTAATTGTTGTTCATTGATAAACTGATATAGTTTTTAGTTAATATCGACGATATACAGAAAGAGAGAGAGCAATTTTTTTTTTTTTGCGAACTAACAAGAAGTGTACGTAGCGTTCATTTGATAAAACTATTTTCTGCATGCAGTGTAAATGGAACAGGTTCTTAAATTATTGTTAAAGATCAAAAATGCATACCTTATTATAAAGTTGGTATTTCAATAGCATTTAGCCTTCTCTGACAAATAAACATTTGTTCAGGAAATAGAGCTCCTAAGTTTCGTATAGTAGTCATTTTCCGTGCTTCTAGCGAAAGAGCAAGTAAAGCAAATCCTAAATATTTGTGGCAGAAACAAACTTACCCTTTGCAAACTGCAGAAGATAAATAAGAAGAAAAAAGAGGAAGTAGCTGAACATTCTTAAGTTCTGTGAGCCATATCAAGACCTTTTTCAACTGATTTTATGTACGTCTGGACGTAAAGTCTATATGCCTTTTACATCCAAACTAAACTTGAGTTACAATGACCTTCAACTGATTTGCAAGCAGCCAAAATCAAATTACACTCTCCTGCAGAGTAGCGAGGGGCTAAACAATGAGGGGCGCTCTTAATCTAGATAGATGTCGTTGTTTGCATTATTATGGCAGGATATGTTATATTATACTTGACAACAATTTCAATCAAGGATTATCTGTTATTGCACGGAAAGTCCGCATGCCGTGATCAAGGGCGGATCTAGCCAAAATTTTATGGGGGGGCTAATTGAGTTTAGGGGGCGGGGGGAGGGGCTAATTGAGTTTCTTCCCTCAACACAACATCAACAAAAGAAATACCGTAAATCCTCTATTTAGCCCCCCGGGGAGCTTATTTATTTCAGACACGTTTGAGGGAGGGCTTTTTGGAGAGGGGGGGCTTAATTGAGAGGGGGGGCTTATTGATTTAGTCGAAACGCAGTATGTAATATGATTGTAATTCAGGATTAAACGGAAGCATTACTATTGACCGTCTCCCATAATCTGTAGTGTGTACATGGCATTTTTATTATTTGATTCACCTGTGTTAGTCTCTCAAGTATAATTTA